TATATATATATATATATATATATATATATATATATATATATATATATATATATATATATATATATATATATATATATATATATATAGATAGATAGATATAGATATAGATATAGATATAGATATATAATATATATATATATATATATATATATATATATATAGGTGAGTAGAGTATATATATAACAATTGTAATATTATCCAAGGACAGAAATTAACTTGTAAGTAATAAAGCATGAGCTTTGCTAGTCCTTAACAACCCCCAACAACAGTCTGGCTGCGTATGAGCGTATCTCTCTCTTCTCAGGTTTAATCAGTTCTTTGTGTGCCAAATTTGTCGTAGTGTGTATGTATGTATGTATTAGTTAAATAGTAAAGTAACTTGCTGTATACAGTTCCAGGTGTAACAGTCAAGCAGGAAGTAATATTGAATATTAATTGTTTCAGGAGACGTTGGAACTAGATCGCGGCGTCACTCCCTTTGTCTGCTTTTATTTAGGTATAAATTAACTTTATTTTTTTTAATTAGGTTTCGTGTATAAGTTTAAATGTTGACAATGGTCTTGTATAGCAGAGCCGGACTTACACATGGGCTGATTAAAGTTGCGTACATCTTACGGCCTCGCGATGTGTCGCAAAACAAATTTCATCCTTCCATACTTTGCTGTTACTGCACCTAGTTTTGGGGTTTAGGGCTTAAGTTCATTATAATAATGTTGTACCCATTTGGACTTACGAATTTTGGGGGCCTCTAAAAATTGGCATTTCTTAAAGAGCTTCAGATAGTCAAATTATAGCCTTGTAGCAAAGTACATTATGTAGAATTTAACCTACGACACTTCAATAGTCAAACAATGCACCATCTTTCTATTGGAGCTCTTACAGTATATAAATGGAATTTCATGTAAGAAATTTGTATTTCACTTTGAAATACGACAAACATTGTTTGCTCACACAGGGCAGTTACAAGTAAGTTTATCTAGGCACAGGTGCCAGTAGCGGCTCGTCCATAGGAGCTGCAGAGCTGCAGTCCCCCCCAGATGCTCACTGCCAGACGTATGACTTCATCAACTTTATGCAACTGACAAATACATTACAGGAAAAATCTGTTGTATGTTGTTTTCAATGTATTTATAAGCGATTTTAGTTTCTTTTGAAATGAGATAAAAAATTATTAAAAATAGAAGTTTGATGCGGTACGATAGTATAGGTATTACTAGCATTACAAGCCGCCACTGAGAGGTACACACAAGTACAGTTATCATACATGGTGTAAATTATCTAGGATAACCCTAAAAAGTCAAAGTAACTTATTTCTATTGGGGTCCTTGTAATATATAATTATTTAAACCTTAAAAGTTAAAACAGCTATGTAGATCTGTTGTGACATAAAATTTCTGTTTGTTGATAATAAAAAGCAAAGGTGGCCATGAAAATAGCCTTACCGAGGTGTATATGAACTGGAAATATTCAAAATGCATCAATACAACTTTAGCTACTGCCCTTTAAATTCGGTGGTTAAATGCCTTGAATGGGTAAATGAAATTCCCTCCACCCATACCTGTGACAATGTGGTGCTGTCCTCTACTTCCACATTTCTTTGAAAAGCTACTCTTTATTATACATAAGCATAAGTACATTTATAATTGTTTTTACATAAGCACTTTGATTTTTTCTTGCAGAAACATAAGACATTTAAATTGAAAGCCTATCTTTAAGATATATACAGCCTCTCCTCAGTTAATGACGGAGTTCTGTTCCTAAGACCACGTCGTTAAACAAATTCGTCTCTAAGTTAAGAGCATACTATAATGGTAGTGAGTTTGTGTCGCCCATCTATGATATTGTTTTAATGTCACCTTTGCACCATTTATAACATTTCTGGTGTATTTTTAAATATTTGTACAGTAGTGTACTGTGTATTGAAATAAACAGAATAGAGGAAATCAACTCTAATATACATTATTTAGGTATGAATACTTGTCAGAGCGCGTTGTAAGTCCGAGGCATCGGTAAACGAGTACATCACTAAGTGAGGAGAGGCTGTATGGATAAATTAAGTAATGCTGGGCTTGGGTGAAAGCATAAAAGCGAATTTATGATGCATGTAGTGAATAGCTGCGGTTAACTTTCCATATAATGGACCTTCATGTAACAGACTTAAAGAATACAGAATTGAATTTGTTGGGTCACTTAACTTTTAAACATTGGTCAAAGTGCATTGGCTACATAAATGTCAACTTAATGTTACTGCAAGGCAATCTCTTCTCTGTCCACCATGATTACCATTACCAGCCACCCACTCTACTTTCCCTTTTTCCCATTAGTCTGTTATGTGGAGGGTTTACTGTACTGAAAGAAATGGGGTCACCTCATATAAACTAATTCTCAAGTGAAACCTCATAAACTGAAATTAAAATTAATAAGATGCTAATTTTTTTTCTTATTTCAAGAAACATTATGGAAAGAAACAGAGAATTAGATACTGATGGAGTTACAGATGATGTTCCTCGGGGACCACAGGATACCCACAGCCTTGACTCAACTTCTTCTGATGGCATAGCCCTTAGATCACGAACATCTGCAAGACGGCAGTTGCAACATTTTCTTCGTTCTACTCGTTGTCAGGTAACTGTATAATTCTGTCAAGAGAACATTTTATATTTCTGACTTCTGTCTTGTGTTTATTACTTTACCCCCTTCCTTGAATCAAACCTGATTACCTTTTATAGCCTAGGTGGTGTATGACCTTTATGGGATTACAAATTGCCCATGATTGCAATATAATAATAATGATAATTCTTATGTTTGGTAAAGGTCATGCTGATAAACATCTTTTTGATTGCTTCTTCCCTTTTATTCTACCTTCCTTTTGACAGTCCCATGTTTAGGACCTTTGTGGTACTGTCAGTTTGCAGCGGGTGGGATCGATAGGGGATCTCTGAGTACCTTTTTTTATTTTTTATTAGCCATGCTTAAACATTGTTCTGATTGTATGAACACTGATAGTCCTCCCTATTAACCTGTCATTTTTTTTTAATTATTAATTAATGTACTATTTTTTGTTATTATTAGTATATTAGTATTATTGTTTTTTATTAGTTTCAGTTCTTCACTAGTATATTAATCAAAACACACCCAGACTTTGAGCTTCCCAGTTTGAGCATATTTTCGGACTAAATAACTAAAACACTTATGGGATACTTTAAAATTATAATACAGCTGTTTTCTGTGTACTGTACCCACCAAAGGTTAAATATATGTATTGTCCTCTTCTAAATTACAGGTATATTTATACTATATACTCTTAGATGCAAATCATCTAAGGGTAGGCACTGCTCGAAGTGCCAGAGGAATTGGAGTGAATATTGATGCTCCAGCCACAGGGGTACAGGTACCTGTATGGTCCTGCACATCTCTTCATTCCATATCCATATCTTGAACATCCACTACAAATAATGGGGCAGGTACCTCGAAAACTTCACCTAGGGCTGCTTTGCATGATGATGCCTTTGACTCTTCAACTTTAAGTATGACCTATACAGATGCACTATTTTCTGCTTAGTTGTACTGTGTACGCTTTCTTCTGCATTAAGGCTATAATTTCCTCACAGTTGGATATACTTAGTTTTATATAATGTTGCACTTGTACCTTCAGTGACTAGTTATTCAGCACACTCATTTCTAACAAAATCAATGGGCTAAGAGTCAGTTGTTGCACATAGAGGAAAACATTTATCACAGTTAAATTAATGTTCATAGTCCTTACTTTTGTTTGGGATTACTTAACATAGTCTTTTGAAAGCCTATGTAATTTAAAAAAGTTTTAAAAACTATCTGCCACTGAGGTAGGGTGACCCCCCCCCCCCCAAAAAAAAAAAAAAATGCACTATTACTCACTCCATCACTGTCTTGCCACAGGCGTGCCGATACTACAATTCAGATCTCCCTCCAAACTGCAGTATCCCTACCCCTCCTTCAGAGTGGAGGCACTGTATTTCTACCTCCTGGACTCAAATCCATCTAACTGGGTTATCTGAATCCCTTAATAGATGTTACCTTGTCCACACTCCTCCAGCACGTTGAGTCATGAAATCCACTTTGCCTCCACTTGCTCCTATCTAACATGCTCATACACCTGTTGGTTGTCCAGGTCCCTCACATACAAAACCTTTAACTCCTCAGAAATTTCTTGAAACCCCTCAAAATTTGCATGACCTGCATCATCATTACTTGCCTTTCTAGTAGGCTGTATTTTGTTGTGTATTTTTCCATGGAGACTTACTGTACTGTAGAAACCCCATATCCACAGATTTGATATCCTCTGTTTACTGTGGCCCAAAAGTAATCCTTAATTTTGCTTAATAATGAGCCCCAAAGTGCAAAAGTAGTGATGCTGCAGTTCTTCAAAGCCTAAGAGAACCTGTGAAATGCTTTCCGTCAAAGAAAAAGTGCTTATTGTAGACTTGTTTTGAATAATTTATCGATTAAACTTTATCATGGGTATATACGTAAAAATGACTTGCATATAGGGTTTGCAACTATCAGTAGGTTTTGGAATGTATCCCCTGCAAATACAGGGGGCACTACTGTACTTAAGAACTAGCCTTATCCCATGATTTTTCATTGTGCAGGATTCATTTTTTATTTTACTCCAAATTATTTTTGAAAACTTTAAGTACCTTTCTCACATTAATAAGGCCTTGATTCATGGGCTGGATCATTCGTGTGCAGTTAGGCAGGATGAATTTTTCAAAAACAGTTCCTATTTATGAAATCACTTGTGCAAGTTTGTGAACAGAGCAGAGCAAATGTTAAATAGTAGCTTTATCTTTCAGTCTTTTGAGAGCTCTGCTTTGCTTCAATACTTCTGGCCTCTTCTCTAAAATATTTTAGAGAATATTGGTTGGTAATTTTTTGCTTCATCCAGGCCTCCTGGTATGTGTTGTAAATAACAGGCAACATTTTGACAGCCTTGAGAGGTGTGGGATTTTGCTTCTACTCATTACAAGAGTGTTGTTCTTGTGAGAAATTACTGTATGTTTTTAAAGAAATGCTTCATTTGCACTAGTCAACAAAATAACCCCCTCTTGGATTCTTTCAAATCTCTAACAGATTTCTCATTGCTAAAAATGAAAGCATTTCATGGAGTTTATGAGTTAAATCATGCTCTTCCACTAGACCAGCAAATTTGCCAAAATAATTCCTTGCAGCACCCTGATGTCTGAAAAGCCAGGCTTAGAGACATAAACACTAGGACATGTTTATTTGGATACCTCAGTCTTGGGACCTTGATCACGTCTTAACATACACAGGATCAAGAATAACTGTATATTTATATACTGTATATATAAGCATAAAGCAAGGTGTGAGTGACCGGTAGTGACCTGATGAGGCGCGTAGTATGGGTGAGGTTTGAGATGGCATCAGACAGCCCATGAGGTCTTCTAATTATTGTAGGTGGGCAAGGCTTAATCTTGCTGAATAGCAGGTATTCCAGTGTTTTTGATGTAGTCTACTTTTTTTATTCATTGTCAGTGATGATGAATAATAAGGTTTCCAGGCATATTCAACATACAAGTTAGACTCTAAGTTGCACCTCATACACATTTAGCATATGTCTTATTGACTTTGTGGAGGACATGGGCATTACTTACATCAAATGGTAATAGATATACAGCCTCTCCTCACTTAATGACGGAGTTCTGTTCCTAAGACCACATCGGTAAACAAATTCATTGCTAAGTGAGGAGCATACTATAATGGTACTGGGTTTGTGTCAGCTATCTTTGATATTGTTTTAATGTCACCTTTGCACCATTTATAACATTTCTGGTATATTTTTAAATGTTTATACAGTAGTGTACTGTATATTGTAATAAACAGAATAGAAGAAATCGGCTTTAGTATGTATTATTTAGGCATGCATACTGGTCAGAGAGCCTGTCTTAAGTCCGAGGCGTCAGTGAACGAGTATGTCTCTTAAGTGAGGAAAGGCTGTACAGTAAAATAACTCTTCGCAGTTAAAATACTACACTTGTGCATAAAATATACAGTAGCTGCTGTACTTGTAAGACACAGGTAGTGTTTATTACTTAGCTTCTACTAAGATAATGAGACAACTGCAAGAATCTGGGGGTCCAGGTTGTCAACCCTTGGCAGTGGTAGAGTTGTCATTTACTATTGTGCATATCAGCACTTCACATTATTTTCACAGTTTGCTTTACACTGCTTCAATCTTATTAGTTATGATTCTGGTGCAGTACTTCCATTGCAACTGACTGGAAAAGAATGAAATATAATTTTTTTTTTATATTTTACTGTTTTATAGGCAGTGGTGGCTTGTCCATAGGAGCTGCAGAGTCCCCCAGATGCTCACTGCCAGATGTGTGACTTTATCAGCCTTACACTAAAATAATTTGCAACTGACAAATGTATTACAGGAAAAATCTGTTGTATGTTGTTTTCAATGTATTTAAAACATAGGTAATACATATTTTAAGAAAAAGAGGATAAATAAGTATACACGATATGATGTAGGGCGAAATGACAGTAGTTTGTTGGATTATGTATTGGTAGATAAAAGACTGTTGAGTAGACTTCAGGATGTACATGTTTATAGAGGGGCCACAGATATATCAGATCACTTTCTAGTTGTAGCTACACTGAGAGTAAAAGGTAGATGGGATACAAGGAGAATAGAAGCATCAGGGAAGAGAGAGGTGAAGGTTTATAAACTAAAAGAGGAGGCAGTTAGGGTAAGATATAAACAGCTATTGGAGGATAGATGGGCTAATGAGAGCATAGGCAATGGGGTCGAAGAGGTATGGGGTAGGTTTTAAAAATGTAGTGTTAGAGTGTTCAGCAGAAGTTTGTGGTTACAGGAAAGTGGGTGCAGGAGGGAAGAGGAGCGATTGGTGGAATGATGATGTAAAGAGAGTAGTAAGGGAGAAAAAGTTAGCATATGAGAAGTTTTTACAAAGTAGAAGTGATGCAAGGAGGGAAGAGTATATGGAGAAAAAGAGAGAAGTTAAGAGAGTGGTGAAGCAATGTAAAAAGAGAGCAAATGAGAGAGTGGGTGAGATGTTATCAACAAATTTTGTTGAAAATAAGAAAAAGTTTTGGAGTGAGATTAACAAGTTAAGAAAGCCTAGAGAACAAATGGATTTGTCAGTTAAAAATAGGAGAGGAGAGTTATTAAATGGAGAGTTAGAGGTATTGGGAAGATGGAAGGAATATTTTGAGGAATTGTTAAATGTTGATGAAGATAGGGAAGCTGTGATTTCGTGTATAGGGCAAGGAGGAATAACATCTTGTAGAGTGAGGAAGAGCCAGTTGTGAGTGTGGGGGAAGTTCGTGAGGCAGTAGGTAAAATGAAAGGGGGTAAGGCAGCCGGGATTGATGGATAAAGATAGAAATGTTAAAAGCAGGTGGGGATATAGTTTTGGAGGGGTTGGTGCAATTATTTAATAAATGTATGGAAGAGGGTAAGGTACCTAGGGATTGGCAGAGAGCATGCATAGTTCCTTTGTATAAAGGCAAAGGGGATAAAAGAGAGTGCAAAAATTATAGGGGGATAAGTCTGTTGAGTGTACCTGGTAAAGTGTATGGTAGAGTTATAATTGAAAGAATTAAGAGTAAGACGGAGAATAGGATAGCAGATGAACAAGGAGGCTTTAGGAAAGGTAGGGGGTGTGTGGACCAGGTGTTTACAGTGAAACATATAAGTGAACAGTATTTAGATAAGGCTAAAGAGGTCTTTGTGGCATTTATGGATTTGGAAAAGGCGTATGACAGGGTGGATAGGGGGGCAATGTGGCAGATGTTGCAAGTGTATGGTGTAGGAGGTAGGTTACTGAAAGCAGTGAAGAGTTTTTACGAGGATAGTGAGGCTCAGTTAGAGTATGTAGGAAAGAGGGAAATTTTTTCCCAGTAAAAGTAGGCCTTAGACAAGGATGTGTGATGTCACCGTGGTTGTTTAATATATTTATAGATGGGGTTGTAAGAGAAGTAAATGCGAGGGTCTTGGCAAGAGGCGTGGAGTTAAAAGATAAAGAATCAACACAAAGTGGGAGTTGTCACAGCTGCTCTTTGCTGATGACACTGTGCTCTTGGGAGATTCTGAAGAGAAGTTGCAGAGATTGGTGGATGAATTTGGTAGGGTGTGCAAAAGAAGAAAATTAAAGGTGAATACAGGAAAGAGTAAGGTTATGAGGATAACAAAAAGATTAGGTGTGATGAAGATTGAATATCAGATTGGAGGGAGAGAGTATGGAGGAGGTGAACGTATTCAGATATTTAGGAGTGGACGTGTGTCAGCGGATGGGTCTATGAAAGATGAGGTGAATAAATAGAATTGATGAGGGAAAAAGAGTGAGTGGTGCACTTAGGAGTCTGTGGAGACAAAGAACTTTGTCCTTGGAGGCAAAGAGGGGAATGTATGAGAGTATAGTTTTACCAACGCTCTTATATGGGTGTGAAGCGTGGGTGATGAATGTTGCAGCGAGGAGAAAGGGTGGAGGCAGTGGAGATGTCATGTCTGAGGGCAATGTGTGGTGTGAATTATAATGCAGAGAATTCGTAGTTTGGAAGTTAGGAGGAGGTGCGGGATTACCAAAACTGTTGTCCAGAGGGCTGAGGGGAAAGGGTTGTTGAGGTGGTTCGGACATGTAGAGAGAATGGAGCAAAACAGAATGACTTCAAGAGTGTATCAGTCTGTAGTGGAAGGAAGGCGGGGTAGGGGTCGGCCTAGGAAGGGTTGGAGGGAGGGGGTAAAGGAGGTTTTGTGTGCGAGAGGCTTGGACTTCCAGCAGGCATGCGTGAGCGTGTTTGATAGGAGTGAATGGAGACAAATGGTTTTTAATACTTGACGTGCTGTTGGAGTGTGAGCAAAGTAACATTTATGAAGGGATTCAGGGAAACCGGCAGGCCGGACTTGAGTCCTGGAGATGGGAAGTACAGTGCCTGCACTCTGAAGGAGGGGTGTTAATGTTGCAGTTTAAAAACTGTAGTGTAAAGCACCCTTCTGGCAAGACAGTGATGGAGTGAATGATGGTGAAAGTTTTTCTTTTTCGGGCCACCCTGCCTTGGTGGGAATCGGCCGGTGTGATAATAAAAAAAAAAAATAAAAATTATTAAAAATAGAAGTTTGATGTGGTACGATAGTATAAATATTACTGGCGTTACGAGCCACCACTGTTTATAGGCAATATTTATGTAATTTTATGGTACCCCATGTACTGTTTGCTGTGTTACTGTGCATTAATTTAATTTTTTGACTTTTTAAATTTGCTTTTTTTTGTAGCAATATCTTATATTTTGTGAGAAATTACTGTATGTTTTTAAAGACATGCTTCATTTTGAGAAAGCTGTTGCAGCTTCTTCAAGAATTATGCCCCAGGATATGTCAGTAATTACATGCATGTCAGGTCCCAGTTGTAGGTTAATCTTTTTATTAATTTTCTAGGTACTTGTTGTCTCTTTGGTGGTGGTGGATACTATGTTGGTCATCACAGAACTATTGCTGGACTTGGAGATGAATGGGTTTCCTTCATCTATACCATTTGTTCTACACACACTTTCCCTCAGTGTCTTGGCTCTGTTTATTGTGGAGATAGGACTCAAGATTTATGCCTATCGATTTGATTTCTTTACATACAAGGTAATTACGAGATGTCTATTTAAAGTATATATGGTACTGTAAATTCTCTTATAAAATGACTTAATGTTGTGCCATCGTCTTACTACACAATTCAAAAACTGCAACCAAAAATTTTTATAGTACATGAAATTCTTGGTATCGCATTCCATAAAGCATGACAGGGTCAGCATCAAGTTACACATGAAATCTGGGTATTAAATATAGAGGATTTTATTTCCTCCAAAATGAGCAGTTGGGTCCAAGATTGGAGTGTACTCGCCTAATTGTGGTTGCAGGGGTCAAGACTCAGCTCCTAGCTCCGCCTCTTCACTGATTGCTGCTAGGTCCTCCCCCCCTCTCTCTCTCTCTTTCTCTCTCTTTCTCTCTTTCTTTCTCTCTTTCTCTCTTTCTTTCTCTTTTTTTTTTTTTACACAGGGTTTGACAATGTTAAGGATCCCTAGCTTTGACAAGCTATTTACAGGTTAAGGATTCCTAACTTTATTGGCAAGCTAAGAGCTGTTACCTACATCAGCTCATTTGAAAGCATTTTTATTGTTATGAGACATACAAGTAGGGAACAGGATGAAGTTGGAGCCATCTGTGGGCCAGCATTTTCATTTGATCAACTGACTTTATCTCGTTGACATCATTATGCTGTACGAATGTGTTCCACACTCGAGTCATCCTGGGTATATAGGATCTCAGATGGAGTGATGTTCTGGAGAAGGGTACAGCCAGAGTGAAGTTGCTGCTTTCTGCCTGTCTTGTGGCATAAAAGCTTGTTTCACGCTGTCCTCGAAGTGGATCCAAGTGTGGTACTTTGACAATATTGGCCTTGTACATAACAGTAAGGCCACCCACATCCCTCCTATGTTGAAGGCTCTGCTGAAATGACAGATCTATCCAGGATGGGTCCAGGCGAGAGATGAGACGTCTTGCTCTGTTCTCTACTCTGTCAAGCAGTCACAGATGAGAGGGGGGGCAAGCAAACCAAGAAAGTGGAGCATACTCAAGGTGTGAGCGTACTTGTGCCTCGTACAGGATCTTGCAACCCCTACTGTCAAGCAGATGCGAGATACAGCGAAGTGCTGTAAGCTTCCTGGCTGCCTTATTTGCAAGATTTACAACATGGTTCTTCATGGTTAGTTTGAAGTCAAATTTCACCCCAAGGATATCAACTTCTTCTCCAGGTGCCACACCTCCCATTCATCCTTACTACTGCACCAGCATTACCATCATGGTGCCTAGAGACGATCATCATTTGCGTTTTCTCAGGTGCAAATGTTACTTGCCATCTATTTCCCCAAGCTGATATAGCTCTCAGCTGGTGATTGATGTAGCTTAGAGCAGCTGGCATTTCTTCTCTTGGATAAGTGAATGTCAGTGTACAGTCATCTGCATATGCATGTGATTCTGGGATGAGATGAAGAAGTCGTTGAAGTAGACATTCCATAACAATGGACCCAGCACGCTTCCTTGTGGAACACTTGCCCCAATAGGATGTCTTGCTGATTCCGTTCCATTGAGAACTACACTTAGAGATCTACCATGAAGGTAATCACTGAGGAGACATAGCGTAGAGCCTGCAATTCCCAGTGCTTGAAGTTTTGCTAAGAGGCCCTGGTGCCACACCCGGTCGAAAGCGCCAGCAATGTCCAGTGCTACCACACAGCTGACTTTGGATTCATCCAATGATTGGTGCCACTTAGTGGAGAGGTTTAACAACAGATCAGCAGCAGAGTAACCTTTCCTGAAGCCATATTGATGATCACAAAATAGTGAGTGATAGTCAAAAAACTCTGTCATTTGTCTTGAGATTATTGTCTCAAGGATCTTACCAGTGATTGACAGGAGTGACACTGGTCTGTAGTTGCTGATTTCTGCTTTCCTCTTCTTTCTGTGAACAGGGACTACATTTGCCTCTTTCCATAGAGAGGGCCATTTACACTGTACTAGGCAGTGCTGAAAGATGCGAGTTAGAGGTGCTGCTAGCTGGTCTGCACATCTCAGCAATCTTGGGCTCAACTTGTCTGGGCCCACAGCCTTTTCTTGGTCAAGCAATTTAAGAAGGAAATGCACCTCCTCCTGCCTTATTGTCACCACTGACAGTTTTGACACAGTTCTTGCAGCTAGCCAAGGAGGGTCCCTTGCTGGATCAGGAACTTGCATTTTGGTAGCAAAGTGTTCAGCAAAGAGGTCCGCCTTCTCTTGACTACTAGTAGAGGTGGTCCCATCCTGTCGATTTAGAGGTGGAATGAGTTCATCAGGCAGATGTCCTTGACCAGGGACAACCAGGTTTTGGAGCCTACCCTACCTGATGCTAGCTTTCTTTTAGTGTCCTCCTCCCATTTAGCAATGGCCCACTTTTGAACATCACCTATATGTCTACAGGCTTGCCTGTGCAAGTTCCTGTTATAGGTGGTAGGATGTCTCTTATACCTTCGCCATGCTTTGTACTTAGCAGTAGCAGCCTCTCTACAACGAAAGCCAAACCAAGGCTGATCTGTAGGCTTCATCACATATTGCCGGTGAGGAATGTGTTCTTGTTGTAGATTAAGGATGTGTCCAGTGAATGCTTTCACTTGGTTGTCAACATCCCCTTGGAGAAGCGCATTCCAATCAGTGGTGGCGAGCTCAGAGCAAAGGGCTGGCCAATTACCTCTTTCCCATAGCCAGGTTGTGCGTGTGGACTCCTCACCTCGTTCTGTTGGGATCTTAAGTGTTGTTAAAATAGCCTTGTGGTCAGACAATCCAACATAGCCGAGGGGTTGACAAGTGACTATGCCTTCTGCCAGATCACTCATTACTGGGTCAAGGGAGGAGCCAGAGATGTGAGTAGGGAAATCAACAAAGCTTCTCATGTCAAACACTGCAAGAAGGTCATCAAAGTCCCTCTGTATAAGGTGCTGGTTGAGGTCACCAACAATTATAATATGTTGACAGTTATGTTGTAGCAGAAGGGAGTCAATATTTTCCATTAGGAAGCTGATGGGATCTGCATGTTGCCACTGAGGTCTGTACATTGCACATGCTAGTACAGAGGTACTAGTGTTTATACAGAGCTTGAAGAACATCATTTCAAGATGTGTAGGGGGGGGCAACATCAATGTGCTGGGCATGAACACTTTTAGAGAAGCACACAGCAACACCTCCTCCTTGCCCTTGCCTGTCTCATCCATGAGGTGTAGCCAGTAATTCTTGCAAAGTTTTCTGGAGTCCTGTCATCCAAAAATGTTTCAACAACAGCTATCATGTCGGGACGTCGAGTGTTCACAAAACTATGTGTCAGCTCTCCAACATTAGTAATGAAACCTCTAATGTTGGCCGACAGGGTGCTGATAGACTAGCCTCTCTCTCTCTCTCTCTCTCTCTCTCTCTCTCTCTCTCTCTCTCTCTCTCTCTCTCTCTCTCCTCTCTCCTCTCTCTCTCCTCTCTCTCTTCTCTCTGTCTCTGTCTCCTGTCTCTCTCTCTTCTCTCTCTCTCTCTGTCTCTCTCTCTGTCTCTCTCTCTCTGCTCTCTCTCTCTCTCTCTGTCCTCTCTCTCTCTGTCTCTCTCTCTGTCTCTCTCTCTCTCTCTCTCTCTCTCTCTCTCTCTCTCTCTCTCGTCTCTCTCTCTGTCTCTCTCTCCGTCTCTCTCTGTCTCTCTCTGTCTCTCTCTGTCTCTCTCTTCTCTCTCTCTCTCTCTCTCTCTCTCTCTCTCTCTCTCCTCTCTCCTGTCTCTCTCTGTCTTTGTCTGTCTCTGTCTCTGTCTCACTGTCTCTGTCTCACTGTCTCTCACTGTCTCTCTCTCTCTCTGTCTCTCTCTCTCTGTCTCTCGCTGTCTTCTCTCTGTCTCTCTCTCTGTCTCTCTCTCTCTCTGTCTCTGTCTCTCTCTCTGTCTGTCTCTCTCTCTCTCTCTCTCTGTCTGTCTCTCTCTCTCTCTCTCTCTCTCTCTCTCTCTCTCTCTGCTCCCTGAGCTTTGTATACCTCATCTTAAAGCTGTGTATGGTTCCTGCCTCCACTACATCACTTGCTAGACTATTCTACTTCCTGACAACTCTGACTGAAGAAGTACTTCCTAACATCCCTTTGACTCGTCTGAATCTTCAGCTTCCAGTTATGACCCCTTGTTCCTATGTCCCCTCTCTGGAACATCCTGTCTCTGTCCACCTTATCTATCCCATACAGTATTTTGTATGTCATTATCATGTCTCCCTTGACCCTCCTGCCCTCTAGCATCTTCAGGCCAATTTCCCTCAACCTTTATTCGTAGGACATTCCCCTGAGCTCTGGAACTAACCTTGTTGCAAACTTTTGCACTTTCTCTAGTTTCTTGATGTGTTTGACCTGTGTGTTAGTAGAGTGAGTGACAGCTCCTTCCCATCCTCATTATCATCCCCACCACCTACAGTTGTTTTATAAGAACATTGCTGGAGATGCCTGGAAGAAGAATAGGCATACATAAATCTGTGATAGTATTCAAGAAAATGGAAGTCTGATATACTTCAAGGTGGAGCAAGTGTGATGGAGGCTGGCTGTGCTTTTGTTGTGAGAAAATCAGCCATTTGTACAATTAGAACTAATGAGAAGAAAACAAAAACTTGTACAGTAAGTACCATAGTATAGATTGTGACATGCCATAAAAAATGTCAGATACAGTTATATAAGATGAAAATTGAAGAATGTGTGTTTAGACAGTTACGCAAAAATGTACCTTGCTATTAAATTGTGTTAAAGGATAGAGATCCTTCACAACAGTGTAGGCTTAGTGCTGGATGGGCAGAAAATTTAATAAAATGCAATCATCTTCATAAGGTTTAGTGTCAAGAGTGCATCAGTTGATAACTTAGCTGCAAGAAGTTATCCTGCTGACTTAACAGAAATTTTTTCTGAGATTGATTGCAGCCCCAAGCAAGTGTTTAATGCTGACGAGAGAGAGCTATGTTGAGAGAAAATGCCATCAAAAACTTCCAAACCTTAGCAAGCCAGAAAAATTTGCACCTCTTTTCATTGTAGCCAAGGAGAGTGCCAGCTTGTTTCTGT